TCCGAACGCTCCCTTCGTGGTCCGAGGCTCCCGCGGCGGAGGCGCAGGCTCTCTACTGCGTTGAGTGGCGGTCAGGCGTGCCCACGGACGCGGCGGGACCGTCGACGATGCTGCTTGGGTGTGCGGCCTTGGCATGCGGCGAGGGCGGCGGCGGGAGCCCACTGCCGGTGCGATGCGTGGCGCACGGCGCCGCCGCGTCGAGGCCTGGCAGCGCGCTGCTGCCGATGGCCGGGCTGGAGGCGCTGCTCGCGCTCGCGCTCTCCCCTCGGGTTGCGGCGTCGCAGCTGGCGCTCCGCGTCGTCAGCGCGCTCGACGCGAGGCCCGCTCACGCCGGCGTGCGGGCCTTTGCGCGGGCGGTCCGGCAAGAGCGTCCGACGACGCGGCTGTCCTGTGTCGACTCCAACTCTTCGGCGGCGCTGCTTGCGCCGGCTGCGGCTCTCCAGCTCCCGTCCGGCGAGGACGAGGCTAGCTTGTGGCGCGGCGGCGCGGCGGTGCCGCGGCTTTGCCGGTTGGCGCTGCCCTCCCCGACGGAATGGGCGGTGCGCTCGGCGCAGCTCGTGTCTGGCGGCAGCGGCGGGCTGGGTCTGCTCACGGCGCGCTGGCTCATCGCGGCCGGCGCGCCCCGCCTCATCCTCGCGTCACGCAGCGGCGCCGCCGGCCCGACGCCGGTCGAGAGCGACGGCGATCCGGAGGGCGGCGGCCGCGTCCTCGCGGCTCGATGCGACGTCACGCAGCCCGCCGCGGTGCGGCGTCTGCTGAGCGGGGTCGGCGGCTGCGGCCACCCGCTGGGCGGCGTGTGGCACGCGGCGGGCGTGCTGTCGGATGGCACCCTCGACGCGCAGAGCGGGGGGACTCTCCGCAGGGCCTTTGCGCCCAAGGCGCACGGCGCGTGGGTCTTGCAGGTCGCGACTAGCGCGTCGCCCCTCCGCTGCTGGGTCGCCTTCTCGTCGATGGCGGCGCTGCTGGGCGGCGCTGGCCAGGCCAACTACAGCGCCGCCAACGGGTGCCTCGACGCGCTCGCCAGCGTGCGGCGGGGGCGGGCGCAGGCGGGGACGAGCGTGCAGTGGGGCCCGTGGGCCGGGGTGGGCATGGCTGCCGGCCGCGCGGTCCACGCGCGGCTGCAGGCGGCGGGCGTGGGGCTGATCGGCGCCGAGGCTGGCCTCGCGGCGCTCCGCGCGGCGGTGCAGCCGCGCGCCCCGCCCGTGACGGCCGTACTACTCATCTCGTGGTCGTCCTTCTCGACAGCCGCCGGCGCGGTTCCCCCCTTCCTGGCCAACTTTGCGCCCCCCGGCGGCGGCGGACTGAATCGCGCTGCGGCTGCGGCGCGGCGCGACGGCGCGCGGCCCGTGTCGCTCCCGCTCGTACTCGAGGCGGTGCAGCAGCTAGTCGGCAGCGAGGTCGACCCGGACTCGCCGCTGATGGAGGCGGGCCTCGACTCGCTCGGCGCGATGGAGTTGCGCAACGCACTGCAGCGCGCCGTCGGAGCTGAGTTGCCGAGCACGCTCGTCTTTGACCACCCGACGGCGCGGCTGCTCACGAGGCGGCTCCTCAAAGGCGACTCGACCCTTGGCCGCGGCCCCGTCCGAGCGGCGCCGTCTGGACAGGCTCGCGCCGAGCTCGCGGCCGCCAGCGACGCGCTGCCTTCGGGCGAGGGCCTTGCGGTCTTGTGGCGCATGTCGGCTGCGGCGGCCGACGCGGTGCGAGAGGTTTCGCCCTCGCGGTGGCTGTCTCCGCCGGAGGGGCTGCGGCACGCCGGCCTGCTCACGCACCCCCACCTCTTCGACAACGCCTTCTTCGGCGTCTCGCCCGCCGAGGCGGCGGTGATGGACCCGCAGCAGCGGCTGCTGCTCGAGCACGGCTACGCGTCTCTGCACGGCGCCGGCTGGGGGCGCGCGCGGCTCGCGGGTTCGGACGCGGGCATCTTTGTGGGCATGTGGGCGAGCGAGTACGCAGACGTGCTCCGCGTCACCCCCGCCGGGAGGAGCCTCTTTGCCATCTCCGCCGCCGGCTGCTCGGTCGCGGCCGGCCGGCTCTCGTTTGCGCTTGGCCTGCGCGGTCCATGCGTCGCCATCGACACTGCGTGCTCGGCGGGCCTCGTCGCCTGTCACGGCGCGATGCGGGCGCTGCGCCACGCCGAGAGCGAGGTCGCCCTCGCCGCTGGCGTCAACATGGTGCTCAGCCGGTCGGCGTGCGCGGTGCTGTCCAAGGTGGGCATGACCTCCTCGACGGGTCGTTCGCACGTCTTCGACGCGCGGGCCGACGGCTACGCGCGCGGCGAGGCGTGCGCCTGTGCGGCCCTGCGCGTCGCGGGGAGCGGGGCGGGGGGCGTCGCTGGGGGAGGGGCCGACGGTGCGGCGAGGGAGGCGGCGGCGGGGGGAGGCGCCACCACCCTAGAGGGCTGCTGCGTCCAGCAGGACGGCAGGAGCGCCAGCCTCACCACGCCAAACGGCGGCGCGCAGCAGGAGCTGCTTCGGGCGACGCTCGCGCTGGCCGCGCTCCCGCACAGCGCCATCGTGCTGCAAGAGGCGGGCGCCAACGGCAGCCTCATCGGCGACCCGGTCGAAGCGGCCTCCCTCGCCGCCGTCGCCTTGGCCGAGGGCGGGCGGCTGGCGGCTGCAGCCTTGCCTGTCGGCGGCATCAAGGCGAGCGTCGGCCACTCCGAGCCAGCCTCGGGTGCGGTCGGCCTTCTCAAGCTCCTCTCCGCGCTCCAGCACGCGCGAGCGGCGCCAAACGCGCAGCTGCGCACGCCGAATGCCAGCCTCGACGTGCGCCGGCTCGGCGACGCCGCGTGCTCTCTCCCCACCCAGCTGGCGGCGCTGCGGCAGGCGCAGCCGGAGGGGGTCGCCGCCGGCGCCGTGAGCTCGTTCGGCTTTGCGGGCACGATCGCGCACGCGATCCTCGCCGCGCCGCCGGTGGGGGGGGCGGTGGGCGGCGAGGGGGCGCCCCTCCGTCCAGGCGGCTGCGCCTTTGCCGCCTTTCGGCGCCGCTCTTACCCGTGGCAGGCCGAGGGCCCTGCGCGCAGCGATGGGCCGGGGCGCGACGGCATGGCGGCGCCCGCCCCCGGGGCGGCTGCGGCGGCCGGGGCGGAGGACGAGCTCCGCGCCGTCCTCGAGGCCGTCGAGCGGACGGCGGGCGCGCCCTTGGGCGCGGATGCGCCGCTGGTGGAGGCGGGGCTCGACTCGCTCTCGCTGGCTGAGCTGGGCAACCAGCTCGAGCTGTCCGGCGCTGCGCTGCCGAGCACTCTCTTCCACCGGCTGGACGGGATGACGCCGCGCAAGCTCGCGGCGGAGATCCGCGGCGGCGGCGCGGCACCGGCCAGGCGGCGCAGCGAGCTGCGGCTGCTGCGGGCCTTCAAGGAGGGCGTCGGAGGAGGAGTCCCCGCAGCGACGGAGAACAGTAGGGCACCTCCGCTCGTCATTGTGCCAACCATCTACGGCGACAGCCGCGGGTACGAGCGGCTGTGGAACATGTGCCTCCTCGGCCGCGACGTGTACTGCCTCACCCACCCGGGCGTCGAGGACGCGTCTGCGGCGAGCGTGACCGACACGACGGCCGAGGAGGTGCTACAGGGCTACGCGGACGCGCTGATTCGCTCGCTCGGCGCCGCGCCCTTCGACCTGATTGGGACCTCCTTCGGCGCCACCCTCGCCCACCACGTGGCCCACCGGGCGCGCGCGAGCGGCGGCACGCCCCGACGCCTCGTGCTCGTCGACCCCATCGCCCCCTTCCCGCCAAACTACCACCCCAAGCCCTTTGGGCTGCGTGACGCGGCAAAGGTGCTGCTGCACACCGCCAGCGCCGACGCCATCACGGACGACACCCCCGACGCGGACGCTGCGTGGCCCGAGCTGGCCTCGCTGCCCGAGTCGATGCTCGGGGTGTACGTCGCAGAGCAGACGGCGGGCCGGCGCGCCCCGCTGGGCCCGGAGGGGCTGCTTGCGGAGGCGGCCTCGATCTCGCGCAGGCTGCACGTCATCCGCCAAAACAACGTCTTCCTGCAAGACACGTGGGCGCGCGAGGTGCGGCCGTTTGCGCCGGCCGGCCCCGCCGCCGGCGCCAGCGGGTCGCCCGCGAACCTGCTCATCCTCTCGAGCGAGCGCGCCGCCTTCTTCGCCGAGGTCTTCCCGGCCCTGCCAGACGACCGCGTCGAGAAGTACGGCGAGGGCCGGCGGCTGCGGGTGGGCGGGTCGCACTTTGACGTCGCCGCGCGCACCATCTCGAACCGGGTGCCGCTCGCCACCGCCGCGATGGAAGAGTTCCTGAGCGCGGGGCATGCCGCCACCGACGAAGGCGCGGATCGCGGCGGCGGCGGCGGCGGCTGGAGTCACCCTTCTTTCGACGCGGCGGTCGTGCCGCTGATGGACTGTGCGCCCTTGTCGCTGAGCCGGCTGCTGACCGTGTGCGTGCTCCCGACGGCGCACGCGGCGGCGGGCGCGTACCGCGACCTGGCGCCCCACCTCCCTGGCCACGCGGTCGAGCTGCGCCTTCCTCCCGAGGGGGGCAAGCCGCCCGCCGCGGCGCTCGAGGCGCTACTCCGGCTGTCGGACGAGCGCGCGTGTGCAGAGCTCGTCTTTGTCGGGCTGAACGCGTGGGCGGACGCCACGCGCCGCGTTGCGCGCGAGCTGCAGCGCGCGGCGCCGGTGCGCGTCGTCCTCGTCGACCTCGTCGCCCCCCGGAGCGAGCGCGCCGACCTGCGCCCCGCCTCGGGGCTTGCCGGCATGCTCGTCCGCTGCCTCCCCCAAACGGAGGAGGGGCGCGCGGCGGGCGTGGAGGGGTCCGAGACCGCAGCGGCGGGGGAGGGGGGCGGCCCCGCCGGCGGCCCGCCGCTGCAGCGAGCCACAGCGGGCGCTGGCTTGCCGCCGCTGCCGGTTGAGGTCGTGAGCGTGCAGAGCGGCGCAGAAGGCGCTGCCGTGCTTCCGACGCGGGCCGCGAGTGAGACGCTCTGCACGCCGGAGCTGGTCGATGCGGTTGCGGCGCGTGTCCGCGCCATCGAGGCGGCGATGCTGCTGCGCGGCGAGGCGGCCGCCGCCGCGGTGCGCTCTCTGGCCGCCGAGCTGCTCAGAGGCGTCGACCCCGACACGCCGCTTGCCGACGCGGGCCTGGACGTGGAGGCGGCGATGCAGTTCGGCGTCCGGCTGCAGGCACTGGTGGGGGAGCTCCCGCCGACGGTGGCGCGCGACTACCCGACGCTGCGCGCGCTCGAGGTGTACGTCGCGAACCGCGAGACGACGGTCGCCGCCGGGGACGGCGGGTGGGGGTCGAGACTGCAGAGCTGGTGGGAGAGGGTGAAGGAGAGGGCGCTCGGGTAGGCGGAGGTGGAGGCCGCGTTGAGTCGTGTAGAGAGTAGTACCGAGGCGGAGCTGCTCGCGACGGCGAACCTGGACGATCACCGGCCGTCCGCGCGAGCCAGGCTGCTGAGCCGCGCCGTGGGGGCGAGAGCGAGCATGGATCTTCCGGGAAGCAGAGGAGACGAGTGTGTTGTGTGACGCGACGACTCGGCGAGGCAGGTACGGTGCAAGGCATGTCGTGCGGGGGTCGCGACGCGTCGTCGTTGGGTCATGGTTGCCGTGAAGTGTCGGTTCGGGGGTTTTACAAAAAATTGATATGTCAGTCCCGGAGCCGAGGCGAGGCCCAGAGTGCAGAGACTACCTGAGGCCTCTCTAGAGGCTCCGGAGGTGTGCATTATATCAACCAAAGCCCATCCACCACGGCGTCTCGACGTGAGGAGAGCCAAGGTCCCGCGACGTGAGGCGGGTGGCGTTCTGCTTCCCGCGCGGCCCGAACAGGGCGTCGCCAAAGACGCCGACCACCCCGCCGGTCGCGGACAGCACATCTCCCGACGCCGACAGCACATCTCCGGACAGCATATCGCCCGCGACCTCGGTCGCCCCGACAACCACGTTACCGGTCACCTGCTCGCCCACCTGCAAGCCCGACGCGGCAATCTTTCCGGGCGGCCCGAACTGTTCCATCGTGTCGTAGAGCTCGCAGCCGGGGAGGATGTGCTGCAGCGCTGGTAGCATTGGCATCGGCCTCGGCAGCCGCAATGCAAGTAGCTGGTTGAGTGCCGTCTGGGCGTCTGCGGCAAGGTGGCGGCGGAAGAGGTTATGGGGGCGTCGATTGAAACACGTGGCGAGCTGGCGGGGGCGAGGGGTGTGCTCTCTTGAGTCGATTTGCGGCCGGATGAAGCGCTCGTCGATACTGCCGGCGAGCGTGGAGGAGAGCGACGACCACCAGGCGCCGCTCTCGGTGGTCTCATCGGCGAGTTCCTCCTCGACTACGAGGCTAAAGTCGCCACGAGTCGCATTCGCACCGCTCATCTCAGCCTTGGAGAGGCTGCGCATGGGGCCGACGTGGAAGGAGCGGAAGGGGATGTCGGCTGAGAGGTCCTCCCCGTCGTGGCTGCCCAAATCAGCAGCGTCCCATCCGACCGACACCTCGGCCAACTTCATGCTCAGCATCGTGCACCCCTCCACCTCGAGCGAGAAGTCCGCCGACAGCGTGGCGTTGCAAAGTCGCGCGAGGAGCGCAAAGGGGCCCAGGTGCATCGAGGCGGCAGGTACCTCCTCCTCCTTGACTGAACAGAGGGAATCTGATCGCGCCGCGATTTTCATTTCAACGATGCCGCCACCGGCTCCATGCGAGGCCAGCGACTCTTGCCAGGTTTGCCTGCCGTCACCGACGCGGAGCGAGAAGTGCCCCGTCACGTTGAAGCGGTTGTTGAAGATGTTGCACATGCCTATCGCGTCCGCCGTCTGTATGCTGTCCACCTCAAGCCCGTCCAGTCCAACGATTGTGCCGCCCAGGCTCTGCAGCGTCTGCACCTCGCTGCACCGCGACATGACGTCTCCCACCGCCGAGCCCACGACGCTGCCGATGTCTCGGCCGCCCCACAGGCCGGAGAGCACGCTGCCGGCATGCGAGAAGAGGTCCTGCTTGGCAGCCTCAGCGCAGGCGAGCAAGCACTCCTTGCTCATCGGCGGTCCGCTCCACGTGCGACCTGTTGTGTTGTCTGGCGCGACGACAAGGCGCGAGGGGACAATCGAGCCGAGCACCTCGTTGAGCACTGTCTTGGCCAGCTCTGGCTCGACCAACGCTATGCACAGGTTCATAGACTCTACGCTGCGCTCTGCCGGCGGCCCCGCCGAGAGGCGAGCGGGATTGCTGCAAGCTCGCAGGAGGAGGACGAGGAGCACGAGGAGCGCGAGCATCGCCCGTATGAATCCGGGGCCAGCGCCCGTCTGCATGTTGGGTGCCCAGTGCCCCGAGAGGGGGGGTAGCTCGCGAAAGAGGAAGGCGCGCGACTAACAGGAGGGACGCACGTCTCGTGAGAGTGGTGCTCTTGGGGTGGTCCCGGTCGCTCGACTGCCAGCTAGCGGCCCTTTTGAGCTAGCCAGGCTGGCTGTGCGGTTGCTTTTGAGCCTGTACGTACGTGCTTATAGCTTACTGGGAGAAAAGAGAGAGGGGGGTTGTGTCAGCCTGTATGCGCATATTCGCGCGATCTCGTACTTTAAGGCTGGATCCGGCCATTCCAAGGGTATACCTTTGAGAATCCCCAGCCTCCCTCCCTCCTAGTCACAATCTCAATTTCTCGACTCTCCAACACGAAGTGCTGCGATCGGGGTTCTCCCATTTCTTTTTTCCTTTCTTTTTTTGGGCCCTGTGAGCACCCTAGCCAGGGGGGGGGGGGCGAGAAGGGGGTTGGACACAGAAAGAATTTCACAACAAAAGGCTCTCGCACAAAAAAAGAAAAGCACGTACTTCGTACACCCATACACGGCCACAGACAACCCCAGGCAGTCCCCGGTGCCGCAGTCGCTGTCGCAGTCATGCTCGGGCGAGCGGCCAGTCGAACAAGCGCCCCCCTCCCAAAGCGGCCGCCTTCCCAGGCAGCGCCCATACTCGCTCACGGCGCGAAGTGGACGCGGAAAATTCCGCGCAGGCCGTCGGCCACCCAGACCTCCTCGCCCTCCCAGCCATACCGCCCGGCGGCGTGCGAGTGCTGCGCGAGCTTCTCGACGCGGGAGATGGTTCCTATGGAGATGCCAGAGACGCGTCCCGGACATGGCGGGAGGGGGTCTAGACGCTGCATCTCGGCTGTATCTCGGCGGCATCTCGGCGGCATCTCGGCGGCATCTCGGCGGCATCTCGGCTGCATCTGCCAGAGACGCCGCCTTGGACTTTGGCGCGTGCGGGCGCATGGTCGAGGCTCTCGAGGCGCACGTCCTGGCGAGGGAGGGGGAGGGGTGGGACTAAGGCGAGAGGGGGGGGGGGGGGGGGGGCAGTGAAGGGGCAGTGGAGGGGGTGTCAAGAAGGGCGGCGGGTCAGAAGGGGAAAACCGAGGGTGAAGGGGGTGCGACCACAGCGGGCGAGAACACAAGGCAATCTCTTGACCTCGCGGCGACCTGGTAGGCTCCGCCCGCGCCCGGCGGCGGGTGGGCGGCGGAGAGGTAGGAAGTCTCGAGCGATTCGAGCAGTGCGCTCCATGCGCTGCTCACCTTGAGGTACGGAACAGCAGTCAGTACCGCTCGTTGCTGAAGGCGTCAGTTGACTTCTAGCCGCGAGAGTGCGCTCCATGCGCTGCTCACCTTCCGGAGCATCAAGCCAACGCAGGCAGTCAGACATGAATGACTAAAGTCGCGAGAGTGAGCTCGAGCAAGGCTGCTCGCCGCCTCGCACCTGTGTCCTCGGCTACTCTCGGCCAATCTCGGCTATCTTGGCCATCTCTCGGCCATGCATCTCGGGCGGTCTCTCGCCTTTTCGCCCGTGTCCTCGAGCGCCTGCCGCACCTCGGGGATGGTGGCCACCGCGGCGCCGACGGCGGCAACCTGCGGGCAACCTCGGCTAATCTCGGCTAATTAATTACTCAGGAGGCGCCGACCGCGGCAGCCTGCGGGCAATCGAAGACTGTGGACGGGCTCTGTTCGGGAGCCCGCCGGGCCGGCTGAGGCTGTGTGTCCGTCTGCCGTGGACCAGGTGATGCCTAGGAGCCCTTCACGGACGGTGTGTATGCTATCCAACACCTAGGGACCGCGTGGGGTGAGCAGCGGTCTGGGTGAGCCGGGCTCGGCGGCGGTGGCGGCGTCAGCAGGCGGATCGTCGCGGTTTCGAGCCGCGTGTCGCAGCCACGGCGTGACCTCGACTCGGGGAGCGCTGCGAGCTCCATCTCGGGTCGAGATCTCGGCGGTGATGTCTCGATGGCCGGCCCTCTAGATCTACATCTCTAGATCTACATCCTCCCCATGTCTCGATGGCCGACCCTCTCTCGGCCACGTCTCGGCTGAACCTCGACCTGCGACGCGACTCGGAGGGCGCTGCCCGCCCGATGCGCCGCCGTGCCGACGCCGGTGAAGCCAGCGGCGTTCGCGGCTGCGGCGGCCGTCTCGAGGCCGGCAGACAGCGCAAAGCCGCTACCGGCGATCATCTGCGCCTCGCCGCCGCCTCCGCCGCCTCGGGAGTGGGCCAAGGCTTGTGCGGCCAGCAGGACCTCGGCAAACTCGCCGCTCGCGCCGCCGCTCGCAAAGGCCGCCGTCGCCGCCGCGGCGAATGCGGCGAACGCCGCCTCGGCACTCATGCTGCTCTCGGCGCGCTGGCCGCTGCTGCTCGGGCAGTCGCCAGAGCCAGGCAGCCCTCCTCCTCCGCGTCGGAGGTCAGTGTCGTACCGGCGCCGCTTGTCCGTGTCACCGAGCACCTCCCACGCCTCCGCCACGCGCCGGAAAGCGTCGGTCGCTTGCGGATGGTCGTTTTTGTCCGGGTGCACGCGTACAGACGTGCGCAGAAACCGCTGGCGGAGGTCGGCGGCGGCGGCGTCCCGCGGAGCGCCGAGGACGGAATAGTGGTCGCGCGCGCCGAGCACGGACTTGACCGCGTCCATTGCGGTCGGGCGAGCGGGAGTCGGCGAGGGCTTGCGAGGGTCGCTTGCGAGGGTCGTTTGCGAGGGTCGTCTTGCGTCGGGCGAGCGGGAGTCGCGGGGGCGGTGGTAAGGTCAGGAAGGCAGGGGGTCCATTAGGAGCGAAATCGCGAACGGCCCGAGCAGAGAGGGCGACGGCGGAGCACGAGGGGGCAACGGAAACGCTACCAATGACGCGAACCGAGGCACGGGCGACGGCGGGGACGGGGAGGGCGACAGCGACGTCGAGGTTGACGCAACGGTATCGAGAGCGCCACCCAAAAGGGGGCGGACAGCCATGGAGGTCACCGAATGGAGGGCGAACGGCACGATACGAAAAGGCAGGGCGAGGCGGATAGAGAAGGAAGTGCCGAGGAGGCCATGGTGGAGGGGAGGGACGGGAGGACGAAAGAAGGGCGAGGAGGACGAGCGGCCCGCACAGGCCGCGAGCAGACAGCGCCTGCTGGCCATCTCGAGACATTCGCAAAGAACGCTAGCTACATGGGAGGGCTTCGTGAAGGATGGATTGAAAAACATTCGAACAAAGAAGAGGCGACGGGAGGAACCGGCAGAGGATGCAGTGACGTGACACACACACACACACACACACACACACACACACACACACACACACACACACACACACACACACACACACACACACACACACACACACACACACACACACACACACACACACACACACACACACACACACACACACACACACACACACACACACACACACACACACACACACACCGCTCACCCACGCGTACCACGCGCACCGGGCCTTGCACTTTAAATGCCGTGGGGCTCCTGTCGTTAGACGTGGAGACGCGAGGGTTGCCCCCCCTTGCCCCACCACCTCGTGTGTGTGGAGAAGTTTACCTTACCTTACCTTACCTTAGGGTTGCGAGCAACTTGGCTCACAATCCTAGCGACAAGCCTCCGACTGCGAGCAGCAGCGCTCGCAATCCTAGAACTTTCGCCGATTACGAGCGACACCGCCCACAGTCCTACGACTTCTAGGATTGCGCGCGGGTCCCCTCGCACAATCGGTGCGAGCACTGTTTGGATTGTGAGGAGATCCTCCCGGCGCGCTCACTCACAAGCGCTCGCGGCTGGAGCGATTGGGAGCGCCCTCTGTGCGCCTGCTAGCCAACTAGCAGTCCTTGGATCTTTGGTACCGGATTGTGAGCGCAGCCGCTCATAGTCCTACAAGACGTAGCTCGTAGGATTGCGAGCGCTCCTGCTCGCAATCGGAGGCATGTTGCCAGGATTGTGAGCTAAGCTGCTCGCAACCCTAGACCTTGCTCGGATTGCGAGCGCGCTGGTAGTAGTCGTAGGCGTCACCAGTCACCTTGGGAGCGGAGCTGCTCTTAGTCCTAGAAGATGTATGTAGGATTGCGAGCGTGGGTGCTCACAATCGCACAGAGATGCTACGATTGCGAGGCCTGCTGCTCACAATCCTTCGACTTCTAGGATTGAGAGCAGCGCTGCTCTCAATCCTAGCCTGGTAGAAAAGAAGGTTCACCCGCACTCAGCCAGGACCCGTGGGGCAGACATCGAGAGCGAGAAAAAGAAATTGCCCTATTTTCCACTCTAAAAAGATTTTAAACAAAAGAACTCTCTCTCACGACACTCGCTAGGTAGGTAGGTAGAAAGGTGAAGAACAGCCAGGCTCGGACTGGACACCAACGCGGTATGGGTGGACGCTCGCTGGACAGATGATGACGACACGCATGAGCGACTCACAGACACAAACAAGCTCACAAGACACACAGCCAGCTGGCTGCCACACACCCTGAGTTGGCGTACACATAACTCAAGGCCACATCCTCCCTGTCTCGCTCGACACAGGTAAAAAGAAACCCCCAAATGTCAATCTGGCCGCTGGTGCGCTGGCGTCGGGGGGAGAGGACTCGCTGGCCAGCGCACATTTGGGGATCAGAGCACCCCCCTCCCCGCTGCGGCCCAGTTCTTGCAGCGATGGCAGCGAGCGATCCGGCGAGCGATCCGGTCGAGGCGCCTGCTGTGCTCGAGGCGGCCGCGCCAGGCTTCGCCGCTCGCGCGGCCGCCTCTCTCCGCGCCGATGGCTTTGTACGCGTCCGCCTCAAGTCCACCGACCTCGCATCGGCCATGTATGAGCGCTGTGCCGCCTTCTTTGACGACCCGGAGGCACCCGGTGCCGCCTTTTCCGCCGCCCGCGGGACCACCCACGCAGCAGTGGGACGGATGCCCTCAGGCGTCTCGCAGCACCCACATTCCTCCTCGCGACCGGTCTGCTCACGACCGGCGGTGCGGCTACTCTCGCGAACGAGGCCGCGAGTTCCTCGAGCTGCACCCGCGTGCCGCCTGCGCCGCCGCCGCGCTGGCCAAAGCGGACGGCCCGGCGGCGGCAGCCCTGCAAGCGGTCGCTGAGTGCGCTGAGGCGTGTCACGCAGTCGCCGTGGCGGTCCTGGAGGAGCTAGCGGCGGAGGGCGGCGAGGGCGGCGAGGGCGGGGCAGCGCTGGCTCAGCTTGTCAGAGACGAGGCGCTGCTTGGCGGCGGCGGCGGCGGCGGCGAGGACACTGGCAGCGGCGGCGGCGGTGGCAGCGCCCGCCGAGGTGGTGGCGGCGGAGGTGGCAGCAGCGGTGGAAGCGGCGAACGTGGCAGCGGCGGCGGCGAGGGCGGCGGCGAGGGCGGCGGCGAGGGCGACGGGCTGGGAGTCTGCGATCGGTCGTACAGCGCCTCGATGCTTCGCGTGCACCGGTACAGCGCCGGCGTCGACTTTCCTCCGCACGAAGACCTCGGGCTGGTGACGGTGGCGCCGCGCGCAACAGCCGCCGGCCTGCAGGTCCAGCTGCCCTGCAGTCTCGGCCGTGCCGAAGCGTTCTCTCGGCCATCTCTCAGCCAGATCTCGGCCTGCCAGGTCCAGCTGCCCTGCGGCCGTTTCGAGGCGATCGAGGAGTCGATGGCGGCGGACGAGGCGCTTCTCTTCGCCTAGAAGGTTCCGAGAAGGTTGCGAGAAGGTTCCGAGAAGGTTCCATGCGGACGAGGCGCTTCTCTTCGCCGGCTCGTCCCTCGCCGCGCTGGTGCGGAGCATCCCCTACCCCACGGTACCCGAATCCACCCTCCCTACCCCACAGGACCCGGACCCACCCAGGTGCGGGGCATCCGGCCGCTGCCGCACAAGGTCGCAGCGCAGGGCAGCGGCCTGCGTCTCTCCGCGCCCTACTTCCTTCGCGCCACGCCGCGCCTCGCGCTAGGCCGCGCCAGCATGCCGCCCGGCGCTGCGGGCGGGGCAGGCGGCGCGGTGTGCGGCGCGGTGTGCGGCGCGGTGTCGGTAGGGGAGTTTGTCGAGGCCAAGATGGCGGAGCGCTCCAACGCGGCGCGCGCGGCGGTCGAGGCGGCGGCGCGGGAGGCGGCGGCGGCGCAGGCGGCGGCGGCGGCAGCGCTGGCGAGCACGATCGGGCGCGATTGCACTGTGCCGGTGGCGGTGGCGACGCCGGTCGCCGCGCTGCTCCCGCCACCGCCGCCGCTGCCGACGGCGGCGGCGGAGGCGGAGGCGGAGGCGACGACGGGGGAGGCGGCGGAGGCGGTGGCGGCAACAGCGACGGAGGCGGTGACGGCGGCGACGGCGGCAGCGACGGCGACGGCAGCGACGGCAATGGCAGCAGCGACGGCGACGGCGGTTGCGTTTGGGGGGGCGGTAGCGCTTGGGGGGGCGGTAGCGCGGAGGCCTGGCCCGCCAGCTCGGGTGCGGGCGGCGTTTCTGCGGATCGACGCTGACGGCGACGGGCGGGTGGCGTGGGGTGAGCTGGAGCGAGGCTTTGCCGACGAGTTCGGCGCGAGGCTGTCGGCCAGAGGCGCGGCTGCCGGAGGGGCGGCGGAGGAGGTGGATACGGATGCCGATGCGTGGGCGGCGGGCGGGGAGGAGGCGGAGGGAGAGGCGACGTCGGGCGGCGAGGAGGGGGAGGGGGGGGCGGCGGGGGCGCCGCGGCTGGCCGGCGACGCGCGCGATCGCCTCTCGTCTCTCTTTGACGCCCTCAGCATTGGCGACCTCTTCTACCCGGCCCGCTACTTTGACGCCGGCCGCTTCAACGAGGCGTACGCCGAGATGCTGTTCTCCGCCTTCGACGCGCGCGGCGAGGGCGCACTCGACTACACGCAGGCGCAGCAGGCGCTGCAGTGGCTGATGCGGACGCCCGCCGACGGCGGCGCCAAGCCCGAGGTGCCGCTGGCCTGCCCGGCCGAAGCGTATGATGCGGCGGGAGGGCTCAGGCTGGAGCGGCCGTGGTTCTTCATGCTCTATCGCACGATGCCGTGAGGTAAGGTACGGTAAATTTCTCCACAACACAAATGTGATGTGGGGCAAGAGGGGGGGCAACCATCGCATATCTCCTCCCGGACACGGGCAGGTGGGGAGCCCCCCACGCGGCATCGCAAAGTGCAAAAGGCCCCATCTAGAAAACCCCCGGCTCTCGTACACGATGAGAAACCAGCGAGGGGGCAGGTTGCGTTCGTTTGTCACTGTTCGCGGCTCGGCTTGCGTATGCGGATGGGAACTTCGAGGACAGCAGGCGTCCCACCCCCTCCGGCCATCCCCCCGGCTCCCAAGTGCGCGGCCGCGACGCGCTGCGCACCCTCTTGTTCCGCGCTGCGCCCGCTCTCGGCATGGCCGTCGTCCGCCGAGATCACCTCCTCTTCGCGCCGCAGGTGCACAACCAAGGGCTGGCCACCTCCGTATCCATCATGGTGAAGCCAATGGGCCAAAAAGGGAGAGCGCTCCCCTCCCAGGTGGCCGGAGGGTACACCTCGGGTCGGCGTGCTGGGGGGGGCGCCGGTGCGCAAGCCCACTTTCCGGGCGACCCCGAGGGGGAGGAGGCCGGGCGAGTGGCAGCAACTCACTGTTAGTGTCCCGGGCCGCTGCGGCACCGTTTATACGGCCCCTCGTGATGTCTTTCCGATTGTGAGTCGTCCTCTGGCCAGCCGAGGGGCACCAGAACGGCATGTGTACTGGTGCTGGCTGCGGGTGCGGAACGGGCTTTTTTTAACTCGCAACCAACTATACTATACAAGGACACCCTCGGGGGGGACACTCGGCGCATGTGCGTCACGTCAGGGTGGAGTTGGCGGTGGCCGAGCGTCGTCTCCCAATCGACTCGCAGCGCGGAGTCGAGGGGTAAAGCGCGTCGCGCTGCGACACTCGAGAGCCGGCGGGATAGCCGTGGGGCGCGGCCGACTTTGAAGTCCTCGAAGATCCGGTGCGCATTCGTCCTCTGAGACCCACGCGTACAGGAAAGGGGCGAGAACGCGGCCATTCTCCATTGACAATCTAACGCTCAACCTTGAGCTAGCCCGTTCCACACAGTGAGATATGAGGCGAGGTGAGGCGAGATGTCAGATGAGGCGAGGTGAGGCGAGATGAGGCGAGATGAGGCGAGGTGAGGCGACGTTAGGCGAGATGAAGCGGGATGCACAGCGAGAATGTGCAGCGAGATGCCTCTTTTGCAGTAAGATGTCTTATGCTGTGTGGGGCTGCTTGTGCTGCCTGCTCCCCCGGGCTGGCAGCACAAGCAGCCACACAAGTCAGAGCTTTTGGGTTGTGTGGCTGCTTGTGCTGCCTGCTCAAATTGAGCAGGCAGCACAAGCAGCATTGAGCAGGCAGCACAAGCAGCCACACAAGTCAGCTTTGGGATGCTTGGTTGCTCACGGCGACGCCCAATGCGTGCGCCGGTAGGGGGGAGTGCGTGCGCGCGCATTGTGGCTGTGCGCGCATTGTGTGCATTGTGGCAGGCCTGCTGCTGCTGATGGGAAGTGTGCTCTGTGTGTAGCGCTGCGCTGGCGTGCGACGCGCGCGTGCTGTGCGCGTGTGCGTGTTGGATACTCGCGCGCGTCTGCGTTGTTGCGCGCGCGCCGGTGTGTGCTGTGTGATGTACTGTGCTATGCGCCTGTTTACTGTGCTGTGCAGCGCAGGCTGGCTGGCAGGGCTGCGCGGCGGGCTGCGGCGTGCTGTGGGTGGTCGCGCGCCTGCCTGATGGTGTACTGCGGCCGCTCAGCCCGCCCGACCGGGTCGTCGGCGACCCAGGGCGCGGGCATGCGGACTGCGCTGCATGTGAGGCTGTGTGCGCGCGGCCGGCACGTATGTTTCCGTGCGGTGAGGGACGCGCGTATGTGTTCACGCTGCGGGCGCGGGCGGGCGCGGGGGGCGGCGTGGTCTCACCGCGGTCCGGTATAGGATACCGACTCGGAAGCGGCTGGGAACGAGGCTGAGGCAGAAGATGCGGCAGAGGATTTGAGGATGCGCTCAATCCACGCCCGATCGCATCGGCGGAGGGGGTCAAGAAGGACCCAGCTCCGAGCGAGAAGGCGACGCTGAAGTGAAACATCATCGTAGAAACCTCGACGACCCCGGCCGTGCAAAGCGGGCGCACGAGCCGGCAGCCGGCGTGACACTTTATTTACGCAAGACAGGAAATTCTGATTCTGAATTTGGTTTCACATCTTGTCCGGGTAGCCACGGGCGCCGCCGCGCCCGCGCCCGCGCTCAGACCGAGGCCAGTATTACTACTCAGGCAGTACGGCGAAGATGGCTGCGGCCCCGATCAGCGCGCAGGTCTTCTCACGTGCAGGATGGTGGCGCCGTTCGACTCCAAATCGATCGAGATGTTCCGGCTGATCCGGCCCGCGAGTCCAAACAGCCGGCACACTTCTAACGGCAGTGGCGGCGGGACGGCGGCGGCGGCGGCGGCGGCGGGGCGAGTGACGGCTTTCATCCAGTTCAAGAGCACGACCGCCAGTGCAGAGTGCAGTCTCCTACTGGCGGTCACCATAATGGGCATGCAGCAAGCATGCTCGGTGCCACGGGCTCCCCGCTCGCGACAGACTCTAGAACGAGCGACTCGAGCTCGTCGCGAGTGCACTTGGCAGCCTGCCTCGCGTAGTCTGTCGGGAACGTGCAGCAGTTGTCGCCGTCGTAGCCGTACCCAGCCGCGGCGCACGAGCGCTGGCAGTACTTGTTTGCTACCCAGTTGGGGTTCCTGACGCGGCAGTAGCCTATACCAAATTCCCAGGTGGAGCAGTGGAGGCCGTTTTGCACCATATACGTGGTCCGCTTGTCGCTGCACCGTCTGCAGGGGGGCGAAGGCGGCGGCGGCGGCGAGGGCGGTGGCAAGGGCGGAGGCATGGGGGGCGAAGGCGGCAACTCGCAGCAAATGTCGGGTGCTTTATCGTAGAGTGGCCGTCCCGCCGTGGTGTCTTGGGAGGAGATGTGAGGCCTGCCCAGTGCCCAGCACGTGCGGCGGCAGAATTTGTTGCGGCTGAAGTGGTTGGCCGTCCCTTGGCCACATGGCGCAGGCAGGTAGTCCCACGTTGCGCAGTCAAGGCCGTGCTCGACCATGTACTCGGACGGCCGGTCGTCGCACGCTACGCAAGCCTGCGGCGCCTGTGGCGGAGGCGGCGCGGTTGGCGGTGCGCGCGCGAGCATCATGCCGCCCCCGATCTCGCAACAGCCCGAGCAGTCGCAGCCGAGGGCCGCCGTCTCGGCGCAGCTGTGCCAAGGGATTCGCGCGTGACACGTGCTTCCGTCGCACGAGTTCATGCACTTGGTCGGGTCGTCGTACTTGATGTAAGCTGACCAGGTCCGATACGACTTGCTGATTTCGTCGACAGTACCAATTTGTCGGGGCCCGACCCAGCGACGGCGGCTCGGCTCGGCAGCATCGCTGGGGTTGCCTGCGTACGGGCTAGGCTCAAAGAGCCTGTAAAGCCCTCGCGACTCATATCTGAACCACTCCGCACGATCTGCCTGCAGCCGGTAGCAGTGGCACCGCGATCTTGAGCAGACGTTCATTTCAGCGCTGCTCGTCGTGATGCCGACGCACGACGGATCGTGGTAACACTTTGAGAGACACTCGCGTCCTCCACGGGCGTAGACGCCGTCATGCGGATACCAGATGAGCCCGTTGATGTCGAACCAGTACCCGAGATAGGCAGCCTTTACTTGCTCGAAGCTCGTCGGGGAGCTCGGCGGCAATGATGGCGGCTGCGGCAGCGCCGGTGGCGCCGAGGGCACCGGCGGCAGCGAGGGCGGCGGCCTTGGTGGTGCGGGTGCTCTTGGTGGCGAGGGTGTGTAGTAGTGTGGGCAGCAGCATTCGTGATAGCAGCGATTCGGGTTCGGGCCCGTCCAGCCGTACATGCAAAAGTCCAACGTGGCCCAGCCTGTGCAGTCGCACGGCGTTGCCGCAGGACAGGCCTGGGGAAAGTCTGTGGGATTCCAGCCCCTGCGGGCGCCGGCCGGACGGGCAAGCAGCAGGAGCACATGTCCTTGCCGGGATCGGAATCGCCGCATTGTGGGCACCCAGAGCAAGGCGTGCGCGCAGCTCGGGGTGCGACTGCTGCAGCTCTGGCTGTTGTGGCGTGACGCTGCGTTGGACAAGCGGTTTCGCGCTTGAAGGCCCCGTGCCTGTCTCGAGCGTCTGAATGAGTGACGGCAGGTCTTCGGGGACATCTCGCTCCAAATCATTGGCTGTCCCGAGTCATGTTGTGTGTGCCTTCGCTTGTTTCTATTAACATCGAAGTTTAGCTCAAAAGAGAATTTTACTTTGCTCTTCTCCGAGAGATCATCTACCAGCGCCGGCAACACCCCCCCGACGGCTGGGGCTAGTGCATCGTACCCGTCCTCATCCAGCACCCTATAGCGTGAGCCCTTCCTTCAGCGCAGCGACATGCGCTATCCTCAGCGTCTTCAGCGTATCCTTGGAGTCGGGTGCCGCCTCTGGGCTACTTTGCTGATCGCCGTCCCCGTCTGCGCTCGCGCTACTCTGAGGAACCATCTGGCCTGCTCCCTATTCCCCAGGCAGGCGCCGCGCTAAGCAAGTGCGCCATCGCGTCGCTCTAGCGTCTAGGGGCGGGTTCTCACATCTTCCTCTGTCCATTGGCACGTACAGTACTCTTCTCATGGCACTTCTTTCTTTCTCACGCGCGCGGTCAAGTTTTTGCCACGGCGCACGGGCGAAATAACGCCTAGGATCGGACTATAGTGGCTAGAATGATGTCTGACGTGATAAAAACAAATCGTACGCGGGCAGCCGGAGGGGCGGCGAGCTCGCTCTTTGCACTTTGGGCTGTCTCATTTCGCCTTCTTGCCTGCGGGCAGCTGGATAGGGCCCGCTGGCTGCTTCTTGCCGCCGTTCGCGCCGCTGCCCTCCCAAGCCGGGGCGCCGTCGGCCTCGAGGAGGGGGAAGGGGAGCTCCGCCTCGCTGTACAGGGAGCAGCCGAGCCGCTCCTCGACGAGGCGCACGAAGAAGACGGCGGCCATCGGCGAGACGTTGTCGTTGAAGTCGAAGGCGGTGTTGTGGCACATGCAGTTGGAGCGCGAGCCCGCGGCGCCGAGCCGCGCCCACCCGTTGAGCTTCTCCTCGTTGCCGCCGAGGAACCAAAAGGCGCCCGGCACCTTGTGCAGGAACTCGGAGAAGTCCTCGGCGCCCATCATCGGCAGGCCGTCCTCCGAGACCGCCTCCTCGCGGCGGAGGAGCTTGCGGGCGAGGTCCGCCACCGCGTCGGCCTGCAGGAAGGTTCCAGGAAAGGTCCAGGAAGGCTTTAGGAAAGGTCCAGGAGAGGTCCGCCACCGCGTCGGCCTGCGCCGCGTGGTTGTCGGAGGGTGGTAGGGTCGCGGTTTGGGGTGGGGAAGGGCTCGGGGTGGGGAAGGGTCTGGGGTTGGGAGGGTCTGGGGTTGGGAGAGGGGCAGAGGCCGGGCTTGGGTCTGGGTTTGGGCCAGGGCTTGGGTTGTGGCGCCGGCCTGCGCCGCGTGGTTGTCAACCGCGGGGTAGGCGCCCTCGAGCTCGACCGTGGCACTCGCCTACAGGAAGGCTCGAGGAGAGGTCCAGGAAGGCTCCAGGAAAGGTCCAGGAAAGGTCTCGACCGTGGCACTCGCCCCGAAGGCGGCACACACGCCCGCGACGATCTCGCGTACGCGCCTACGGCTCCATCAGGACCATTCGCGGCTAGTTGTTGATGCGCCGGCCGCACACGCGCCCGCGACGATCTCGCGCCGGTACATGGTCTCGCAGACGGTCGGGTCGAGGTCGCGCAGCGTGCCCTGCATCTCCACCTGGTCGAGATAGGGGGAGATCTGGGGAGATCTGGGGAGATCTGGGGAGATCTTGGGAGATCTGGGGAGATCTTGGGAGATCTGGGGAGATCTTGGGAGATCTGGGGAGATCTGGGGAGATCTGGGAGATCTGGGAGATCTGGGGAGACATGGGACGGGCTGCTGGTGCCGAGATATGGGGAGATGTGGGGAGATATGGGGAGACATGGGACGGGCTGCTGGTGCCGCAGCAGACAGCCGAGATAGCCGAGATAGCCGCGAGGCAGCCGAGATAGCAGTCTGGACGGGCTCCTGGCGCCCCTATCCGAGATGGCAGCGTACTGATGCTGTGGGCGAATGACTGCAGGCGCCCCTCCCCTGGTCGAGATAGAGCCGAGATGAGCCGAGGTCTCGCCGAGATCTCGGCCCCCTCTCCACCTGGTCGAGATCTGGGGAGATCTGGGGAGATCTGGGGAGATCTGGGGAGATCGCTCTCTCCACCTGGTCGGGTATGACGTTGGAGACTTCGCCGCCGTGGATCATCGTCACGCTGCAGACGGCCTGCAGAGGTGAGCCGAGGTGAGCCGAGGTGAGCCGAGGAGAGCACAGGTGAGGAGAGGTGAGGAGAGGTGAGGAGAGGTGAGCAGAGGTGAGGAGAGGTGAGGAGAGATGAGGAGAGGTGAGCCGAAATCAGCCGTGTGTCTTTCGCCACGCCGCAGAGAGGGGCCTGCTTGGTCGGGTCGACAGCGCGCGCCACCACCGACTGGAGATATGGGGAGATATGGGGAGATATGGGGAGATATGGGGAGATAGACCTGCTTGGTCGGGTCGACAGCGCGCGCCACCACCGACTGGAGAGCGACGACGATGTGCGCCTAGTCCCATACCTCCAGAGTACCGAATCCAGTGTGGGTTCGGTCCCGTGGTGGTAGGGGACGATGTGCGCCGCCGTCAGCACCGGATCGACGGCCACGTGCGGCTGCGAGCCGTGGCCGCCCTTGCCCGTCACCTGACGACACGCTCGACGCGTGGAACGAGCCGCAGGTCGGGTGGGTTCGGGTACCGTGGAGGTAGGGGAGGGTGGGCTCTAGGGGTAGGAGGAGGACGCGCCGGTGGAGTTGCGCGCTCGCTGCCACACCACCCAAAAACTGAACCCACACCGGATTCGAGACTCTGGAGGTGTGGGACTAGGCGTCACCAGTGCTGCCTCCAAGTCTACCTCCCAATCTCTCCCCATCTCTCCCCATCTCTCCCCATCTCTCCCCATCTCTCCCCATCTCTCACTGGGCTGCTACTGCCTCCAGGTCTATCTCCCCATCTCTCCCCATCCCTCCCCATATCTCACTGGGCTGCTGCTGCCTCCAGGTCTATCTCCCCATCTCTCCCCATAGCTCCCCATCTCTCCCCATATCTCACCACGATCTTGAACGAGGTCGGGTGAGCCATGACGGCGCCTCGCTTGACGTGCAGCATGCCATACTCGAAGGCGGGCCAGTTGTGGTACCTGGTCAAAGAGAACCATCGCGCGGGTCGGATCTCTCTGTTTAGAGGTGTGCCGTGGGCGGCGCAGCTGTGGTACCTAGACACACACAAAAGAGATGCCCGCCGCCGCGTTTCTTCTTTTGGAGGCGTGCCGTGGGCGGGCCAGCTGTGGCGCCCGCAGCCCTCATCTCACCCCGGCGCAATCTCGGCGCAATCTCGACGCAATCTCGGCGCAATCTCGGCGCAATCTGTCGGCGCAATCTCGGCGCAATCTCGAGATGGCACCCGTAGCACTCGTCGACGCCGTCGAGCGCGCCTTCCTCGATCATCGGCTTGGCGCCTACTCTCCAGATTGCACCGAGACTGCACCGAGGCCGCACCGAGACTGAACCCTCCCCCCTCGGCCCTCGGCCCGGCGCCTCCCGGCCCCTCCTCGGCAGGCTGGAAGAGGAGCCGCACCTGCGGGACGTGTCCTGGACGTGTCGTGGACAGCCCCTCCTCGGAGTGGCTGGAGGAGGAGGAGCGAGCTGCGCCGCGCAGCCCGCCGGCAGCTTGCTCGCCCGCTTCGCAATCAGCGTCGCGGCGCCGAGCAGCGACGCCATGTGGCCGTCGTGGCCGCAGAGGTGGGCCACGCCTGGGAGGACCCGCCGAGAGATGGCCGAGATATCGAGAGGTGGCCGAGAGATGGCCGAGAGATCGCCGAGAGATGGCCGAGATATCGAGAGATGGCCGAGAGATCGCCGAGAGATCGAGAGATGGCCGAGAGATGGCCGAGAGATGGCCGAGAGATGGCCGAGAGATGGCCGAGAGATCGCCGAGAGATCGCCGAGAGATCGCCGAGATGGGCCGCACGCCTGAGGAGATGCTCGGACATGTCATGGACGTGTCATGTGGCCGTCGTGGCCGCAGAGGAGATAGCCTTCGTTGGTCGAGCGGTACGGGAGCGAGCGGTTCATCTCCGTCATCCGCAGCGCGTCCATGTCTGCGCGGAGCGCAATCGTCCTGAGCCCACTCGCCGCCGCGCTTGGCGGACCCTCGCCCTTGATATCGACGACGAGCCCCGTCTTGGCGCAGTCACGCATCGAGGCTGGGTCCAGCCCGGCGAGGCTCTGCAGCGTCTGACGGATGAAGGCGTTCGTCTTGACCTCCTCGAAGCCCGGCTCGGGGTTGGAGTGGATGTGGCGGCGGATCGACGCCATCGTGGAGAAGAGTCCGTCGAGCGCCTCGGCGCTGAGTGGGTCCTCGGCTGCCAAGCGCGTGGCGGTCTCCTCGAGCAGCGCGGCGCCTTCGGAGAGCGGGAAGGCGGGGACTCGGCGGCAGTACGACATCGCGCACAAATTCTTGTGCCAGTGCGAGCCAGTCTCGGGTGCCAGCGCTTCGTTGTAAAATTCTTTAAGGTCCTCCGGGCCAGTTTCGGGGGGCAAACCCCGCCCGGCCCCTAGAGCCCCAGGTAAGGCCCAGGTGTGGCCTAGGGCATCAGAAGGGACCAAGAGGAGTCCAGTCTGAGCCATAGAGCCCATGTCTTTGCCCCCGAAGGTCGCGTTCAAATGCCCGGAACGGACGTTACAGTGGTGTCCGGCCGGCGCGATCACCGAGCTGTGACGCTCAGGGAAGACTGATGAGGTGCTGGTTTCTTTGCCCAGGGCTGGCCTACGGCCCGTGCTGGATCAGCTGACTACTCCTTGGGGAAAATCCTATAGTTCGTTCTTCAGATGCT